GAGGCGGAGGCCGGGGCGGGGAGAGGCCCGGCGCGCCGCGGGGAGCGCACGGCGGCGAGCTCCGCCAGGGCTCCATCCTGGGCGACCTGGCCGGGCCGGGGCCGCTCGGCAGAGGGCGGGCCTGCCTCTCGCTTCGGGCCGGCTCTTGTACGAGGGCGCCTAGGGCCGCTTTCCTTGACGCTGTGACCCGGGCGAAGGGGAACTTGGCTTCGTCTGTTGCTGGTTTTCGCCGAAATTCAAATCTCAGTCCGTGTGTCGTGGGCCTTCCCAGAGTTCAGCTCTCGGGCTGTGAGGGTTGGAGGGGCCCCAAGCCATTCTGGGCCCGGGGACTTTCTGGCCCAACCCTGAACCGAAAACCAAAACCAAACTCACTGCTGTGGAGTCGGCCCCGACTCACAGCGACCCCTCCTTGGGTTTCCGAGCGGTATCACTAGGGAAGTAGATTGTCCATCCTTCCTTCCAAGAAGTGGCTGGTGGGTTTGAACCGCCGGCCTTCTGGTTAGCAGTCAAGTGCCTTGGGCATTGCGTCCCTCCGAAATGCCTCCGCTGAAAGCCGGCCACCCGAGTCCCTGCAGTTTCGGAGCAAGAGCTTTAGGTACCGAAACTCACCTGCAAATCGCCTTCTGGCCTTCAAGAGGTTAGTTCGGTGGGTTCTTTAAGTTTCTGAGTTGGGAGTCAGTACTCCCCAGTCGCTGATTCAAAAGAACCGTTTATTGGTACTTAAACTATTTTGTGAGGCTGTCCAGTCAGGGTTTTGTTTTCGGTACTAAAAATAAAACCCCCGAATTCTTGAAACCTGGCATCAGAGGCAGTTTCTAACTTCTAGAGCACATCCTGATGACTCGCCCCTGAACTCCTTCCAGGTCCCTTGTGACCTATTGGGGTTCTGGAAAGGACCTGACTCCTGCAGAAGGCAACGGAGGATGACCCGTGGAGTCTTCTTCAGAGCTGCTCTGTCCTGTGGTCTGGCCGCAGTCACAGTCATGGCTCTCGAGGCTCCTTTGGTTGGGAGGGGTGAGGTTAGGAGCGCTTCCCCTTAAGGGGAGGGCGTACCAGTCATCGCCAGGGCCAGGGTCAGGGATGGTAAGCAGAGTGGGGCTTTTTTTAGGGCGCAGCTTGAGGGCAAAAAGTGGGATACAAACTGGTGTGAGAGGTATCTGGCAGTTTCCTTCTGCAGTCCCAGGCTTACAGACCCAGGAGATAGGCACCCCTGAGAGGGATTGGGTGGGGCAGGGGGCGCCCTCAGCTGCCACTTCACGGTGTTTGGCCTTTTCCTCCGCTGTCTAGTCTCCGCTGGCTGTTTTCCTGGGCTCAGTGAGCAGAGGCAGCTTTTGGCAGTGAGAGCCTGTTGAATCTAGTCAGTGAAGGGCAGAGATGAGCGAGGGAAGACATTGTCACTGTTGGGTGAATGATCTGAGAAACTTTTGTTGACACTCAGGCAGCCTTGATTCGAGTGAGAAGGATTGGATCTGCCCCGTCTCAGTGTTTCTTGGTTTTGGCCCTTTGTGGAGATTGCTGCGAAATTTGTTTTGAGCTTAAGCCGCTTTCTTAAGGTTTCAGATCTTTTAGTGCCGCCCCCCCCCCCCCCAAATAAGATGGCCTTTGTGCTTGGTGTTTCTGTGTTTTTGCAGCGCTCTGGCATTCAGTAGGTTTAACTGGTGAGGAGGATGGTGGCGACGAAGCTGCTTTATTTGTCCCCAGGCTCGGGCAAGTTGGGGCTCCCTAAGACCTAGAATCGTGTTCCTTCATTCTGAGGGAGGACGAACAGAAGAGCCTGTGCTTCACTTCACAGCCAGTGTGTCGATGGACCCGCCAGCTACCTGCTGAGGAAGTAACTCATCCTCTGAGGTGGTTTTGCAAATCTTTGTGAGGCAGTAAACGTCAGGGCTGGTGTTGAGCACTTGGCAGTCATTGTCTGACTTAGACTGGAGTCTGTCAGATAGCTACTGGCATATTCTCGAGTCTTCAGACAAGGGCATCGAGGTTCAGAGAGCCCCGATAATTTGGCAAGCTCATAGTTGATCGGTCAGCAGTAACGCTGGGATTTCGATCTGGCGAGTCAGACCAGAGCGCCTGCTCATAGCTGGTACTCCATGTGGTCTGAGGCTGCTTTCTGCTCACTAACCATTTGGTCTCCACTTCTATTAATGTCCTCTTCTTAGACCTGGGCAGGGTCTCTTGGGGCCTTGACAGCTGGGGGGCGTCAGTGCTCAGAGCACCAGGAGCTGCCCTGGTGGGGTCATAGAATGTGCCGGCTCTTGCCCCTCGTCTCCTTGATTCCGTTTTCTTCATCTGAGCACTGGTGTGTCTTCTCCCACTTCCCTAAGTGTGATGTTTAGAAGCTGGTGGGACCTCTTGGGCTGTGGAGCATGCATTAGATGTGACTCGGTCTCCTCTTTCTAGTTCGAAAGGAGATGACTTATCGACAGCTATCCTTAAGCAGAAGAACCGTCCCAATCGGCTAATTGTGGATGAAGCCATCAATGAGGACAACAGTGTGGTGTCCTTGTCCCAGGTGAGCTGGGGCCACAGCTCAGCCTTTCCTCTACAGACACTTACCTGAGGTCTCTGCCCAGCTTCCCTTCCTCATTTCTTTCTGCAGTGACCCCAGATGGAGAGGGGTTTATTGGGAATCTGCAAAAAGGGCAAGGAGGCCACGTGTTCTGACCTCCTCTAATCCCACAAGAGGAAGGCAGAATCACCATCAATAGCCCAAGGCCTATTACTGCAAGGCTGGACATGCTGCCTCCCTCCAGCCCTTTCTCCAACCGTTCCTCCCAAAGCACCCACCACCTCTCTCCTGGGTTCGATAATTCGCTGCAGTGGCCACACAGAGCTCACAGATTATGGAGCACCAGGCTACAATTCAAGTTCAGGAAAAACACTCAGTCTCTCTCCCAGCCCGCTGTCTCTCAGCAAAGTCTCTCACAGTCTCTCTCCCAGCAGTGCATGTCCCCCGGTGTCTTACTCAGCAACGCGTGTGTCTTGCGTCTCTTTCCCAGCAGCACGTGTCTCTTTCAGGGGTGCGTGTCTCTTTCGGCAGCACGTCTTCCTCAACCAGCAGTCTGAGAGAGTTCTGCCTCTAGGAGGCCTCCTTTTGAGCCTGGCAGGGTGGTCAAACTAGCCAATCATAGCATCAGAACTCTAAGCACTTGAGAGAGAGTGGGCACCTCCCAAAACATTGTATTGTGCCACTCCCAACAGAAATACTCCAGGTGGACACCTTCAGCAATCAGGAGCTCCTCAGTTGCTCATAGAAAATCCCACCTTGGGGTTTACAAAGGCTTATGGGTAGAAAAGCCACACTAAGTAATTTGCTACACTGCAGAATCCCAGCCTCTAGGGCTGCTGCCTGCCCCTTTCTGCCCAGTGACCCTAAGGCCTTTCCCTTCTTTCCTCAGCCCAAGATGGATGAGCTGCAGTTGTTCCGCGGTGACACGGTGTTGCTGAAAGGAAAGAAGAGGCGGGAAGCTGTCTGCATCGTCCTTTCCGACGACACGTGTTCTGATGAGAAGATTCGCATGAATAGAGTTGTTCGGAATAATCTGCGTGTTCGCCTGGGGGATGTCATCAGGTGTGTGGGGTGCTCGGCCCCAGGGTGTGGGAGGCCGAGGAAGCCTGCAGTGCAGGCTGGACCCCCACAGAAACCCGGGCAGCTACAGAGACCAAGAGCCCCCAGGAGCCTTGGTGCTTTGGGGTATCGTTGGGTTGCTGTTCCCTCTCCGAGGACTGTAAAGTCACCTTTGCATGCCACTTGGGACGAGTTAGCTTTTCTATGACTTTCTCAGCACCTTTGTTTTTTCCACCGGTGATACAGTGTCTCACACCTTAGACCCTGGTTTAGGACCTGAGGGCTGTGTCTGCAGCCTGTCCCCCAGAAGGTCTCGCTGCTTGTGTCTGAAGTAATGGCTCTTGTTAGGGCTTGAGTGAGACAGGGGTGTGGACAGAGAAGGTGGGCTCCTAGCCGAGCATTTAAGGGCCCAAGTTAAGTTGGGAGAAAGCTGTAGTTGGAGCCAGGGCAGTTCCAGCCTGAGGTATTTGGGTGGTTCCTGGGGAACTGCAGACAAGAAACTCCCCATCTCGGACTGTGGGTTCTAGGAGTTAACATAGCCGCCTTCCTAGGGGTGCTAAGTCACTCTCAGGGTCCTCTGGCCACCTGACTGAGATACGTAATTTTCACGCTTTTATGTCTCTAGGCTTCCCTCTGTAATATCAGGGCACAGGATTAGCCAGAAGCGATCATCCTTCAAGAGTTCTTGGGAAGCCCTCCCTATGTCTTCTTGTGGGGTTCCCAGTGTATGGCTTCTGCCTTTGGCTGCCCTAGCCAGCCTCTGTGCCTCCCCTTCCTCTCCCGCCCTGAGTGTGACCTGTGGGAATTCTTCTGCCCTGTTCCTCTGCCCACCCTCTTACCCTCCTCTCTCCACCTAAAGCCATCCCAGCCGTGTCTCTTCGGCACGCCGTCACCTCTCTGCGCCAGGCCCTTCTGGACGCCCGGTGCTCGGGGGGTGGTGTGGTTGGTCACGTGGAGTCTGCTTGTCCTTCTCAGCATCCAGCCGTGCCCTGACGTGAAGTACGGCAAACGCATCCACGTGCTGCCCATTGATGACACAGTGGAAGGCATCACCGGCAACCTCTTTGAGGTATACCTTAAGCCATACTTCCTGGAGGCTTACCGACCCATCCGGAAAGGTGAGAGGGGATGCCAGGGACTGAGCCTGAGGAGGGCTGGCTGCCTCATTCTCACTCACACCTTCTGGCTGGCTGGTTCTTGCGTTCCCTTCCTCGCGCTCCTCTGTGGAGGAGGGGCTGCGTTTGGGCTGTCACAGTATGTTCATAGCACAGCTCTACCTTGGGTGGGAGCTCTGGTGGCGCAGTGACTAAGGTGTTTGACTGCTAACCAGAAGGCTGGCGGTTCAAACCCACCAGCTGCTCATTGGAGGGAATGTTGGGCAATCTACTTCCGTAGACCCAAGGAGGGGTCGCTATGAGTCGCAGTCGACTCATCGGTAGTGAGTTTGGTTTTTTGGTTCTACCTTGGGTTGGTCTGGTGAAAGTCCCCTGTCTGAGTAGCAGAGGGACTGTTCACAGGTTGGCCTTACCAGGTGTGCGGTAAGACTCGGGGGGTGGGCAGGAAATGGAGCGGTATGTTTAAGCTTGGCTTTCTAGCCCCCGGCTTCAGAAGAGGAACTCTCACTTGGCCTTGGAGTTGACATCCCTAACTGCACTTGTGTTGCTTACTTCCACAGGAGACATTTTTCTTGTGCGGGGTGGAATGCGTGCTGTGGAGTTCAAAGTGGTGGAGACGGATCCCAGCCCTTACTGCATTGTTGCTCCAGACACAGTGATCCACTGTGAAGGGGAGCCCATCAAACGAGAGGTGAGTTCCCTTCTTGATCCCAGTTTCCTCCCTGCTTACTCACTTGGGCAGTCTCTGGCAGCTCTCAAGACTGGGTGCTCTTAGGAACTGAGTTTCTCTCCAGAGATGGGCAGGCCTCCCCTGTATTCAACCCTGGGTTCTGTCTTTCTTGGAAGTATCTGATATTGGTGATGTTTAAAATATAAGCAGAACCCATTTTGTAATTTCTCTACTCAGAGAAAGGAGCTTTGGTAGTCCAGTGGTTGAAGTGTTTGGCTATAACCAGAAGGTCAGCCGTTGGAACCTACTAGCTGCTCCATGGGAAAAGATGAGGAAGTCTGCTTCCATAACGACTGACAGCCTTGGGAATACTGTAGGGCAGCCCCTCTGTCCTGCAGGGTCGCTTTCGGCCAGAACCAACTCAGTTGCAGTGGGTGGTTGTTCAGATGGAACCCAGAGTAACTTAGTGATTGGAATATTTTTGAACAAGTGGAGCTGGTAGCTTCCGGCTTCCGCCCACTCCTAGAATTTCCAGCTTCGGGCCTGGAACGCCTTTCCCAGTAAGACCAAGGGCAAAGTGAGGGGAAAAGGCTTGGCTGGAAACGTTTGCCTTAGTGTCTTAAAGCTGTTCTGGGAAGCGGGGCCCCTTAGGGGGAGTCTGTTGTTCCGCACCCCGGCTGGGCTGTCACTCCTGCCTCCTCTTCTGTCCCCTGTGCAGGATGAGGAGGAGTCCTTGAACGAGGTAGGCTATGACGACATCGGCGGCTGCAGGAAGCAGCTGGCGCAGATAAAGGAGATGGTGGAGCTGCCCCTGCGACACCCCGCCCTCTTTAAGGCCATTGGTGTCAAGGTAAGCGTCCTGGGCTCTTGCGGGACCAGGTCCACTCTAATCCTGGGGCTTGTTGTCTTGTGTGTGTCGTTAATACTCATCCAGTGAGACCTGTGAGACCTGGCACGCAGTGGCACTGCCTCGTTTTTCTCCGTCTCACAAGTTTTTTGCCTTTGACAGGTTGTAGTCTTAACTACTGTTGTGTTGTTCACTTTAGTGGACAGTAGTTGGGTTTTCCCTCTCTGTTTCTGGCTTTCACAGGTTTTGTGGGGGGAGTCTCTGCGCGTACAGAGAGCTTCACACTCATCAGAGTTACTGATGGTCTAGAACAGAGCGGGCCACATACGCTCCCAGCTACATGGTGTTGTTTTTTCATTTGTACTATTAACAGCTCTCTAGAAGGGTAAACGTTATTCTTCCCTCGTTGGCTCTATAAAAACAAATCCTGCTCAAGTTGGCCAGCTTGTCTAGAACAGAGAACAGTGCTGTTCAAAACAGAAATGAAAGAGGTTTGTAGTATGTAAGGGATCCTGAGACCGGAACACTGAGAATTGATCTATAAGGTAACTTCTGACCATTTCTGTGTCACGGGACACACCGAAGATGACAGTGGTCTCTCTCCCCACTGTGCACCGTGTGAATCATTTTATCCTCGGTTGTGTGTCCTGTCTGTGGGTGAAGCCGCGGACAAAATGGCTTCAGAAAGAATGCATGTGGTTGGCTGTAAGGCAGAGCATCCCAGCATGATAACTCCAGGAAGGGTGATGGGTGCTGGCGTGAATGAACCTCTGGCTGTGGAGACTAGACCCTGTCTGTTTCAGTGGCTTAGGGAGGGAGGCATTGGCCCTTGGGTCTGTCTGAAGTCAGTACTTGGCGTCATGGCCTCTTGCTTTCCTTAGTCTCGGGATCTTTCAGGTCACTTAGACGAGTGTTTCTTAGGCTGTCTTCTCTGTCCCCAGTTTCCTGTAGTTGTAATTATTTGTGTTGCCGGCTATCTAGCAGTATCTTTACTGCTGGTTCAGGGAGTGAGTGTGGCTTGAAGTAAAATGTCTTCCGTACTTTTACTGTCGAGCACTCGTTCTTTCTGGGTCAGAGTTGAGCCCTGGTTCTCACCCATTAAGCACCAGTTAAGCCATTTGAGGGTAGGAGGGTCGGAAGAGCCCTAGTGATGCAGTGGTTAATTTCTTGGCTGCTAACTGAAAGATTGGCTGTTTGAACCCACCAGTGGTTCCATGGGAAAGAGAAAGAATACCGACTGGCAGTACATGGGAAGGGGGAGGTTAGCACAGTGTGACCAAGGTGGAGGAGGACGCCGGGAGGGGCACAAAGGCAGACAACAAAGGGGACTGCTGCCCCATGCATGGTTCTGCAGTAACCAGCCGTAGTGTATGGGTAGAGACCCAGGGAGACATGCAGTCTGACAGACGTGGGAAGGTGAGTGGGGAGACAGCACGAGCAGGAGGTGGACACACAGACTGATAGACGTGGGAAGGTGTGAGGACACCCGTGAGCACATGGAGGTTGGCAGGAGGTCTTTCCACGTGGGTGTTTGTCTCTGCTGCAAATGCAGCGTGTGTATACTGGAGCACGCAAGGGACACTTAGCTGTGACCAGACACCTTGAGGGATAAGTCACTGGGCTTAGGGGCTCAGGACCGTCTCGGCAGGTAGCTAGGTCACTGGGCCTAACATTTCATGAAGACGGTGTTCTCCGTCCTGCTTTGGTGAATAGTGACTGGGGTCTTAAGAACTTATACTATTGGTCTCTCCCCGTCTGGAGCAAAGAAGAGTAAGGAAAATCAAAGACTCAAGGAAGCAGTCCAGAGGACTCATGGAGCATGTCCGGCACAGCTCCCCTGGCCTGAGACCGGAGAGCTGGATGGTGGCCGGCTCCCCCCGTCCTCCACTCTGATCAGGGCCCCAGCAGCAGGTCTTGGACAGAGTTGTGGGGGCGAAATGTAGAACAAAACGCAACGTCATAAAAACAAGCCTGGACTGGTGTGATAGAGACTGGTGGAAGCCCTGAGACTGTGGCCCTTAGACACCCTTCCAGCCTGGACCTGAATCCCCCGCCCCAGGGATCAGCTGTGAACCGAATAATACATGGGCCTAAAAAGTGAACAGTAACACCAGCGAGGACCATGTTCCTCAGGCCGATCAACTGTACAAGACCGAAGGGGCAGCATTTGCCAAAAATAAAGTTCAGAAGACAGGAAGAGTCAAGAAAGGACGAACGGAAGCGGCGAAACGCGAGGAGGGGTTGGGGCTCGCGCTGTTGTTACATTGCGGGGATTGTAATCAGCGCCACAGAACAAGACAAAACGTGTATAAAAAGTTGGGGAGGTGAGAAATGTTACAGCCCGGGAAACCCTGCAGGGCGGTTCTGCTTTGTACTAGGTTATTGTAAGTTGGAATGAACTCGACAGCACACGGCAATAGCGTTGGACGAGGTGACAGTCTGAACCTAATTCTGTTCTCTGCTGGTCCTCAGCCTCCTCGGGGAATCCTGCTCTATGGGCCTCCTGGGACAGGGAAGACCCTGATTGCTCGAGCTGTGGCAAATGAGACTGGAGCCTTCTTCTTCTTGATCAATGGTAAGAGATGGTTCACTTTCTGGATGGCTGGGCCCAGCTCTGAGTTGGGCAGGCAGCTCGTGGACACGTAGTTTAGCATGTATGCCTCATGGAAACTTTCAGATCTTTCTTCTGTTGAGGTGTGACAGTACAAAGGAGCAGTTTTTCGCTTGTGTGCCCTGATCTGCCCCTGCTTGTGAAAGATTCTGGCTGAAGACAGTTAGCGGGGAGCAAGTTAGGGTAGTAGGGGCATCCAGTGGCAGGATTCTCAGCTCCCACACGGGAGGCACAGGTTCAGTTCCGGCCAGTGCCCCTCATGGGCAGCCATCACCTGTTGTGGAGGCCTGTGTGTTGCTGCGATGCTGGATGGGTTTAGGGAGTACTTCCAGACTAAGAAGGACCACGAATAAAGGCCTGGCTGCCTGCCTACAAGTGGGTCTGTGAGAGTGCTGTGGGGCGTGACGCAGGACCGGGAGTGTTGAGGTTGGCGTTGTGCACACATGCGTGCAGGCTCTCAGGATGGGGCAGGACCGGGCGGCATCTAGCTTGGTTCTGTTGTATGTGGAGGCTGACTTGACAGCAGCTAGTACCAAGTTTGAATAGAAGTCCAAAGGCCCACCGTGATCTAGTGATTTATTTTGGAGGATTTGGGGAGATTGGCTGAGGTCAGCTGGCTCTGTGGAAATAATATTTAGCTGGTAGAGGTCCAAGTGGTATATGACCTCCTGTTCTAGCCAGAGATCCAAGAGTACCTGCTGTCATCTCCACACCTGGATCTCTTGGGAAAGTGGCTGGGAGAGGACAGGCAGAGGTGACAGTGACTGCCTTCTCACCCAGGACCTGTCTGTGGACTGGGCAAACAGGATACCTAATTTCCTGAGATTGAGGGAGGAGATAGCATTGTCATGGTCTCTGCCTCATGTCCTTTCAGGTCCTGAGATAATGAGCAAATTGGCTGGTGAGTCTGAGAGCAACCTCCGTAAAGCCTTTGAGGAGGCCGAGAAGAACGCCCCTGCTATCATCTTCATTGATGAGCTGGATGCCATTGCTCCCAAAAGAGAGAAGGTAGGAACTTCCCGAAGGGGTGGGGGTGTGTGGAAGGTCCTGACCTCACCTCTGACCAGACGCTCTGTCCTGATAGACTCACGGCGAGGTGGAGCGCCGGATCGTATCACAGTTGTTGACGCTCATGGACGGCCTGAAGCAGAGAGCACACGTCATCGTCATGGCAGCAACCAACAGACCCAACAGCATCGACCCAGCCCTGCGACGATTTGGTAAGGACCCTGGGTTTGCGCCCCATCCTTGCTCGTCGGGATGGTTAGCTCCTTGATCCTACCTTTGTCTTTCTTCTGAGTCTTTTTCCTCATCCTGTGTCCTGTCTGGTATGACAGCCATCCTGGTTTGTCTGAGATTGAAGTTTCTCGGGACGTGGGACTTGGAGTGTACACGCAGGACAGTTCTGGGCACACTGGTGCCGTTGGTCACCTTGGGGTTGTCCTTCCGTTTGCACCAGAAATGAGCCCTGACTCTTCATGCGCTGTCCCGCAGGCCGCTTTGACAGGGAGGTGGATATTGGGATCCCTGATGCCACAGGGCGCTTGGAAATTCTGCAGATCCACACCAAGAACATGAAGCTGGCCGACGATGTGGACCTGGAACAGGTGTGGTGGTGCTGGAGGCTGCCCGGGACTGACTAGGGGCGTAAGATGGGAGGAAATGGGTTTTGATTTTTGGAGAGGGAAGGGAATGGTGTTAGATTGAGTCCAGGAAGGTGGACTTGGCGTGTTTCCTCGTTGCTTCTATGTCGGAGTGAAGCCAGAAGTGGGGGCAGCTCTCTCGAGGCTCTGGGTCCAGGCTCAGGCGCTTAGAGTGCAGCTGGTGCAGGGATTGCTTGTGTTGTGAGAACCAGGAGGATGCGGAGAGAGGGCTGAGGAGTCAGCGTTCTGGTGTCTCCCAACCTGCCAGGTCAGCTGGGTCTGAGAGACCAGAAAGTAAGCAGACCTTTTCTCTGCAGGTGGCCAACGAGACTCACGGGCACGTGGGTGCCGACTTGGCCGCGCTGTGCTCGGAGGCTGCGCTGCAGGCCATTCGTAAGAAGATGGATCTCATTGACCTAGAAGATGAGACCATTGATGCTGAGGTCATGAACTCGCTGGCCGTCACTATGGATGACTTCCGGGTACGACGGCGCACCCCTCCGTCAGGTACACACACGTACATTTGGACCCCTCCTCTGACAGGTCTCACCTGGTTTCTCCTCCTGTCCTAGTGGGCCCTAAGCCAGAGCAACCCATCAGCGCTGCGGGAAACCGTGGTGGAGGTACCCCAGGTGACGTGGGAGGACATCGGGGGCCTGGAGGATGTCAAACGTGAGCTCCAGGAGCTGGTGCAGGTACGGTAACTTGGTCCAGGGTCAGTCACGGCCTCGGTCCGTGGTTATTGAGCTGGGCGGTGTCTCAGTGTCGGGGGGAGCCCAGCTCAGGAACCTGCTGGTCTTGGGTTCAAGGCACTGAACCCTAGGGAGCCTGGTGATGATACCACAGGTGCTCTGTGGGGTGGTGTCTTTCTTTGCAGTGACGAAGTGGTCCTGAACTCCTTTCTCTTTCCCCCTAGTATCCTGTGGAACACCCAGACAAGTTCCTCAAGTTCGGCATGACACCGTCCAAGGGAGTACTGTTTTACGGACCTCCTGGCTGTGGGAAGACCTTGCTGGCCAAAGCCATTGCCAATGAGTGCCAGGCCAATTTCATCTCCATCAAGGGTCCTGAACTGCTCACCATGTGGTTTGGGGAGTCTGAGGCCAATGTCAGAGAAATCTTTGATAAGGTGAGCTACAAGGGTCTGGGCTGTCTGTCCATTTGTGTGGGGCAAGGTGGGGACAAAGCCATCATCACTGACACCTCACTGGGGCCGGGAAGGACACTTCCCTTCCCTTCCCTCCCGAGATCTGCGATACCATTGTGCCAGTGTCTCAGTCTGCCCCACTCCCTCCCACAGGCTCGCCAAGCTGCCCCCTGTGTACTGTTCTTTGACGAGCTGGATTCGATTGCCAAGGCCCGTGGTGGGAACATTGGAGATGGGGGTGGGGCTGCTGACCGAGTCATCAACCAGATCCTAACAGAAATGGACGGTATGTCCACAAAGAAGAACGTGTTCATCATTGGCGCCACCAACCGGCCTGACATCATCGACCCTGCCATCCTGCGGCCCGGCCGCCTCGATCAGCTCATCTACATCCCGCTTCCTGATGAGAAGTCCCGGGTCGCCATCCTCAAGGCCAACCTGCGCAAGTCCCCAGTTGCCAAGGCAGGTGCCAGGTGGTGGGCTGCGGGGCTTCCCCGAGTCCTTGAGGCTGCTGTGGAATGTGCTTTGGTTCTTGGCCAGCATTCCATGGACGTTTCTGGGGTTAGGGCTGGTCCAAAGGGAGGTGGGAGATTTGGGGGGTTAGGGTAATGTACAGTCAGGAATAAAACGGAGCGGCAGAAGATGGGACAAGCAAGTTGGGAGTGCTGGGGTGGACCGAAGATCAGTGTGTCCTGCGGGAGAAGAGGCTGGATGCCAAGGTCCTTTTCTCTTCTCCTAGGACGTGGATTTGGAATTCCTGGCTAAGATGACTAATGGCTTCTCTGGAGCTGACCTGACGGAGATTTGCCAGCGAGCTTGCAAGCTGGCCATTCGTGAATCCATTGAGAGTGAGATCAGGCGGGAACGGGAGAGGCAGACCAATCCATCAGCCATGGTGAGCCTGTACCCTCTCCCCAGATCCATGCCAAGTGTGTGGACGGGGCATAGTCTGCACTAGGCCCTAGAGCAGGTTTTGAAAAGATCATCAGATTTAGAAGATGCTTAACAGGGCATCAGAGAAAGGATGAATGAGCCCCCAGGGAGAACTGCAGAGGCTGGGAAATGGACAGGCTGTATGTTCAGTAGTAACTGGGCTCCGTGAGGGGCATCCGAGCGTGACGGCACCTGAACACATCTGGACTTGTAACTTTGGGTCTGTGGCCCCGTCCCAGGCCAGGAGGGCGGATCAGGACCTTCTGAAGTTAGACACAAGCTTTGTTGGGTGTGTGCGTCTAAGCTCCTTAAAGGTACAGTCTGTCATCTGCTTGGCTCCCAGTGTATTGTGGCCCGTGGTGGAGAGAATGAATGAAAGAATAGTTTTCTTGCCCCCTCGAAGGGAGCCTGGCGTCTTTTGTCCCCTAAACAAGATGAACAACTCCTGACGCACTCCCTCCGGGGCTCAGTAACTGGAGTGGCTTTGCAGTGGAAGAGCAGGATTTGAGCGGGGCTGTGCAGGGGGGGAGCCTGCTCCAGAGGAGCCGTGAGCTCGTAGGAACTGGGGAGAGACAGCCGCCCTTAAGAGCACGTGTCCCTGGTTTGTGCTCGGTGCTAAGCGGAGGACGGGTGGTCGGAACCCACTCAGGTGATGTGGAAGGACGGCCCAGTGGCCTGCTTCTGGAAGGAGGCCAGCCACGAATGCCCTTGAGCACAGTTCTGTTCTGGGATGCAGGGGTGACAGCAATGTTCCTTAAAGTGTGGCCCCTGAACCCGAGAGTCAAACCACCTGCCGTCAGATTGACCCTGACTCAGCAGCCCTAGGTAGGGTGTGATCCAGATGCCGAAGTACCGAGAGCCATTGACTTTAGATTTAGCTTCTTTATTGGGGTATAACTAAGGAGCTCTGGTAGCACGGCGACTGAGGCATCTGACTGCTAACCAGAACGTTGGTGGTTCAAACCCACTAACCGCTCTGAGGAAGCAAGACTGGGCAATCTACGTCCATAAAGATTACAGCCTCGGAAACCCAGTGGGGGTCGCTGTGAGTCAGATGGGCTCGATGGCAGTGGGTTGGGTTTGGGTATAACTTAATCTAGCAAAAGGACCCTGCTTTGGCCACTTTGGTGTTTTTTGGACAAGTGCGTATAAATTTAACTCCTCCCAGAGTTGATAAACGCAAGTCCCTGTCCTCCCAGAAGAGCTGCCTCGTGCCAACTGGCTGGCACCGTCTCCCCTCCACCTTCACTGCTTGGCGGCCAGCGACGCGTTCTCCGTGGCTGCAGCTTTGCCTTCACCAGAAAGCTCGGCTGGGTTTTTAATCAGGGCAGCCGTGACTCAGTTTTGGGAACACTGGCCTAGCAACTTCCTCAGGTTGGATAGGACAGGAACAGAGACCTGATAAGCTAGAATGTGATTGGGGTCTAGGGAAGGAATCTAGGCTGGGCCTTAACTCGCCCTGGTGGTTGTGGTCACCAACCTCTAGGAGGTGGAAGAGGATGACCCAGTGCCTGAGATCCGCCGAGACCACTTTGAGGAGGCCATGCGTTTTGCCCGGCGCTCCGTCAGTGACAATGACATCCGCAAGTACGAGATGTTTGCCCAGACCCTTCAGCAGAGCCGGGGCTTCGGCAGCTTCAGGTGACTGGAACGGGGACCGCGGGCGGTGCTGACGGTGCCTTGGGGACCTGTGCCAACCAGGTGGTGGGTGTGCTGAAGTGGGTGGCATCGGGATGTGCAGGCCCCGTCCTGACCCACTGCTCTTGTGCACACAGATTCCCCTCCGGGAACCAGGGCGGAGCCGGCCCCAGTCAGGGCAGTGGTGGCGGCACCGGGGGCAGCGTGTACACAGAGGACAACGACGACGACCTGTACGGCTAAGTGGCAGCGGCCGGCGAGCTGGCCGGCTGAGCCTGTTCCCTCGGGTGGGGGCGCTCCCCCAGGAGGGACCGGGGTGCGCCCACGGCCTGCTCCACTCCGCAGTCTGAACAGTTCAGCTCCAGTCAGACTCTGGATGGGATTTCTGTTGCAAAAAAGTAGAAACCAAAAGCGATACAATAAAGCGAGTTTCCTTTGGGAGGCGGGGAGTGAATTACCGCAGGGAACGGGCCGCGGGCCTGCGCCATTTCGGTTGTAGTGCAGGGACCTGTGTGGGCTGTGAACCCCGGCACCGCCGCGCCCCACAGCAAAGCATCCACACTGCACTCAAGGGGGCCCGAGCCTCCCTTCTCCCCCTGCCCAGCCCGGGCAGGAGGGTGAGGGGCCACAGTTGCTGGATGTTTGTATAGAGGGTAGGTTGATTTTATTTTACATGCTTTTGAGTTAAATGTCGGAAAACTAATCACAAACAGTTTCTAAACCAAAAATGACATGTTGTAAAAGGACAATAAACGTTGGGTCAAAATGGAGCCTGAGTTCTGGCCCCTGTGACTGCTTCTTTTCCTGGGAGGGGCCTTGGGCTAAGGCCCTCTTCTGAATGTGAAATCCTGGAGGAAGTGGGATCGCACCAGCTTGCCTCCTGCATCCTCACCCTTGGTCAGCAGTATCCTTGAATAAGACGCAGGGGAGCAAGCCTGAAGGAGCATCCCGTGTAGAGAATGGTATCCCTCCGCCGGTGTTTGATGTCCATGGTAAGACCGGGCCTGCAGAGAGGCCCCTTAGCCTGCCTGAGGCGTGGATTGGGGTGCCTTCCAGAAATCTCAGCGGTTGTAAGTGATGCTCGTTGTCGAGAGCTGGGTGTTCTCCGTTTATACCTGTGTCTGTTGCACCTGAAAATTCTGAACATTCGCACTTCAAGCATCACTGACAGTCATGTCCAGTAGTTTATGTCATTTATATTAGGATAAAACGGCATATTTTCTGGCATGAAATGTTTAAACCCGACCTCCTCCATTGTTCAGGTGGCTCAGATGATCCCTTGTGCAGTTTCACCCAAATATAGGAAGTCCCCTTACTCAACAGGCACAAAGTCACACCTAGTGTTCCTGGGGCAGGACCATGCGCCCTATCCAAACAGGAGGGTGGTGGAGAGAAGAGACTCCGCTGAATCAAATCTGTCTTGTTCGTCCCAGGACTTAACACCAAACAAGACCGAGCCGGTTCTGGGACGGATAGTCTGCAGAGGCTTGAGACCGTTGTGGTGGTGATTGACTTAAACATCTCGGGAACTTACGTGCTGTGAGATAGAGCCTTTGGCGTTCGAGTCCTGAGCTGGTTTCCTTCTTTTCTGACACTGCCACGCTGTTCTTTTCTTGGCCATCCTCTGCCTTTCCTTCCCATCGTTCAGGAATTGCTCGTGGCTTGGCTTTCATTCTTCCCACTTTGAACACTGTCGCTCAGTCTCATCCCTGTGGGTTGGCAGCGTCACCTCAGTGAGGACCAGGACAAGGTCATTTAGGAAAGGGCGTTGTACCTCTCCATCAAGCTCTGGGGACAAGTGTCATCACCCACAGTTACAGAGATACTCGTTGATAGCCTTGTGGATGTGTTGGGGTGATTAGCTAGCTGGCTTCCACTTGACACATGAAGTCTGTCTGTAGGTGAAGAAGACAGGAGACGGTTGAACCTTTGTACAGTCTGGGGAAAAGCCAAGTCGTCCCTTTTAGGAGGCCTGGTGACAGTTTCTGCTTACAGCAGCATAGCTTCAAACAGGATGCTTAGCTTTTGGGGGGCTCAGGTTTCTTAATGTGATAAAATGAAAATGCTCTGTAAACTAGAAAGGGCGGTGTGAAGGATCACTGACCTGACAGGTCTGCCTGTCCCGAATCCACCCAGCTGGGGCAAATGTTGCGTGGTTGGTTACTTGTGTGTGGAGTAATAATGTACTGAGGGCTTAATGAAAGATGAGAATACAGGAGTTGGATGAGATTGGGAGCTGCGTTTGTCTGAGACCATACGTACAATGTGTATAAAAACCCAAACTCACTGCCATTGAGCTGATTCTGACTCACAGCGACCCCCACTGGGTTTCCAAGGCAGTACATCTTTACAGAAGTAGATTGCCCGGTCTTCCTTCTAACCAGTGGCTGGTGGGTTTGAACTGCCAACCTGCTGGTTAGCAGTCAGATGGCCTTAGGCACTATGCCACCACAGCTGTGTTATAAGCGTAAATTTTTTTTTTTTTAAAGTGAGGCGGGCTACCTTCAATTCCATCTTTGGCCAGCAGATGGCAGCTTTTACTTTGCCCCCATAGAATTGGACTGACAGCTTTGGAACAGGACTGAGGCAGCATATACCTCAGTTGTTTCTTTTCCCACCAGATGTACATCCAGACCACACAGAATACTGTAGACTTGGAAGAGTGGAATTTGGACTTGGTCTCCCAGAATCTAGAATCTCACTTTTTTTTTTAAATTGTGATTTGGGTGGGAATTTACAGAGCAAATTCACTTTCCATACAGCAGTTCACATATGCTTTGTCTCATGACATTGACTACAATTTACCACAATATGGGTAAATGTTCAACTCATATGCCTTTCTTTCTGTTGGGCTGGAAGCCACAGGTGTGGGTCCACTTCCAGACCTGAAGGGGCAGCTAGGGGCCATAGTCTCAGCGGTTCCACCAGGCTCTCTGGGACCAGCAAACCTGGTCCCCAACCTTTTTTTTTTCTCCAAATGATTTTGAGTTTTGTTCCACATTGTTCTCCCTCTCTATCAAGGATCTCCCATATAGATCCCCTTCCAAGTGGATGACAGTAGCCGGGCACCATCTAGTTCTTCTGGTCTCATAGTTGTATAGGCTGCAGATCACATGGTGTACCAGTTGCTTGGACTAATTGTTTCAATGAATCTTGGTTTTTTTCATTCTTCTTTGCTCTGGATGAGGAGAGACCCATCGTTGTATCTAGAGGGCTGCTTGCAAGCTTTTAAGATCCCAGTTGCTACTCGCCAAAGTAGGAGCTGGAACAATGTTTTGTGTAGTATGTTATGCCAGTTGAGCTTGATGCCCCCTGTGACTGGTCCCGAGCCCACAGATTCAACTACTCGGTCCCTCTGGGTAGCTAGCTGGAATCTTACTTTCTTTAAAGGCACGATAGCTGTATGTTTATAACCAAAAAACAAACTCACTGCTGTCAAGCCTTGGGTTTCTGGGGAGGTATCACTGCAGAAGTAGATTGCCCAGTCTTCTTTCTAAGGAGTGGCTGGTGAGTTTGGACTGCCAGCCTTCTGGTGCCTTAGGCACTTTGCCACCAGAGCTTCCATATGTGTCTATATTATTATTTTTTAATTGGGACTTGGGTGTTCACAGAGCAAGTTCGTTGTCCTGTCAGCAGTTGGTACACACGGTCCCTGAGCGCAGTGTGACAGCTCTCCCCACTCCCTCCCTGTGCTTACTTTTCTCTGTACCATCCTTTCTCAGGCGTCCTGCCCTCTGAGCTAGCTCCCTGTGTACGTGCTGGGGGTGCACCTCCCCGGTGTAATGGACCACCTGTAGGTGACAGCCTCACATTGTCCGGTGAAGCACCGCCAACAATGCCCAGAGTGTTAAAGGGGGAACAAGCAAAGGGAAGCTGTACCCAAATACAGAGCTGTGGTCTGAACTGGGCCTTAAGGAAGGAGGCAGACTTGACTTAGAAAAGGGGCGGGGCAATTGGAAGAAAAGGTTGGAAAATACAGGGTGTGCTTAACATCAGGTTAACAAGGGGTGCTGGAGTGAAGTCAGAGGCCAAGGTCAAGGACTGCAGGAAGAAGCTCACTGCAGGAGAGAGTCATCGCAAAGGTGACCTTGCTGAGGTTTAGGCAGGGGAGTAAGGTTTCCATTCTAGAAATTCACTTTGAAACCACCTCTTTCTTTTTTTTTTTTTTTAATCGTGATTTGGGTGAAAGTTTACAGAGCAAAGTCATTTTCCATACAGCAGTTCACATACATTTTCTCTCATGACATTGACTGGAATTTCCTACAATGTGATAACTCTCCTCCCACATCCTCCCCAGTCACCTCTTCCCTGTGTCCTTCCCTCCATGCACTCCTGCCCCCCAGCTGTCTCCCTGAGCATGCACAGCCCTTTCTCCCATGATGGATCTCTCCAAGGAGTGTGTCTACCTCAGGTAAATAAATGTTCAGCTCATATGCCTGTCTTTTGTTTGGCTGGAAGCCACAGGAGTGGGTTCAATTCCAGACGTGAAGGGCAGCTAGGGGCCATAGTCTCAGGGGTTCCACCAGGCTCTATCAAACCAGCAAACCTGCTCCCTTTTTTTTTAATGATTTTGAGTTTTGTTCCACATTGTTCTCCCACTCTATCCAGGATCTCCTCCAGAGATCTCCCTCTGAGAACCACCTCTTTCTTTTATAGAAGCAGTAACGTGCATTGGAGAAACTTGAGCAAAATAGTAAAAAATTAATAAAACATCCTGAAATAATCACTGTTCATAATGGAATGCACATCTTGGGGACATCTCCATGTATTTGTGTGTCTTGTGTGTTTGTATGTGTGCTTTTTAAACTAATTGAGATCATCCTGCTTATAATTTTGATTACTGATTACCGAATCCTAACCTGTTTCAGTGAATTTTCGTGCCATATTCCCAGTTTTCACAAATACATCATTCACGTGGTTTTGACCAATATCTAAGCAAAAACTGCACGTCTTGATGTCCTTTTACTGATGCTTTTGTGACTCTTGAAGAGATTGAGTCCGACAATCTCCAGTGACAATTGATTTTTGTAGCCGTGCGGAGTATAGAGGAGGAACAGGGAGACGACATTTGGTGAGAAACGGCTAAGACCGTGATGGTGGTGATGGAGAGGTATAGGTGGATTTGAAATCATTTCATAGGCACAGACTGGGTTTGCTGATGGAGTAGATGGGGCAGTGTGGGCAAGGGAGGAGTGAAGGGTGACACGTTTCTGGTTTAGGGGTTTGGGTGGATGTGAATGGGTGGATATGGCTGCAGCAGAAATGAGTAGGAAACTGACATCCTCCGTACCTGAGGCTTCGAAGAAGACATGGGTGGGATCTGTCCAGTTCAGCTAGTTTTATTAGAATTTCCTCTGCTTGGATTGACACAGTGGCTGCAACGATGGGTTCACGTATAGCAAGGACTGTGGGGCTGGCACAGGACGGGGCAGGATTTCGTTCTGCTGTACATGAGGTTGTTAGGAGTCGCAGACGACTCGACGACAGCTAACACCAACGGATGGGTTCATTGGAGGATCAGGTTTATGGGACAAAGTCTGGACACGTTGAATGGGATGAAGATCAGGCTGTTGGATATGTGGATCTGAGGCCTTAAGGGACTTAAAAGATGACCCATGTTTTGCAATATGGCATTTAATGGAACAGGTTTGAGATGGTCTATTAAAAAATACTGTATTGGTAAAACTGGTCGTCTGTGTTGGGGGTGTTAGATTCCTACCTCACACCATACTCAAAAATTAGATGAACAGTTTAAAGATTAACATCCATAACTAAAAGTACCAGAAAAAAGTGGTTCTGGAGTCATGAGGGAAAGTGTTCATAGATTTAACTACATGAACATTTTAAACCTGGCTAGCTGTGAAAGTTGGGCAATTTACTTCCGTAGTGATACTGCCTCGGAAACCCAAGGAGGGGTTGCTATGAGTCGGGTCCGACTCGATGGTACACAACAGCAGCTGTGAAGATAAAGGGGGTCATTAGCCGAGAAACTTGGGCTGCCTATAAAAATGAAGTGGTGAGGAATGAGTCTTGCTCACCTGGCCAAAAGGGAAGCAGCCCTGTCAACACCATGACGAGTGAGACCTGGATCAGATTTCTGACAATTTGTAGTGTTTTCCAGTGATTTGTTACAGCAGCAATAGGAAGTTGCATGTTAACAACTTGTAACAGACAAAAAAGTGTAAAGGCTATGAACAGGCAGTTCAACTGGGACGGTCACTTTTCCGGCGCTGGTGAGGTGGTGTGAAGCCACAGCAACTCCATGTGACACAGCAGGACCTCCCCCACAGGGTTCCTCGGCTCTAATCTGTAAAGGAGCAGATTGCCAGGTCTCTCTCCCCCAGAACCATGGGGTCAAACTGCCAATCATTCAGTTAGTAGCCCAGCACTTAGCTTCTGTGCCACCAGGGCTCCTTAGATGGTCACTAGACATGAAAAGATAGCTTCTCCTTATGGATGGGACCTGGGAATGGATGCGCTGATCCAGGAAAGAAAAGAGCAGAGGACTGAGAAGATACGGTCAGAATTGTGGAGAACTTGTGGGCCACGAGGAGAGAGAAGGGGTCCATAAGCTGGCATGGAATGGCCGCCTAGAGCCAAACCAGGGGGCTCCTGTGAACAGATGCCTTTCCCTCTCGGGCAGCCCTGGGCTGTGCTCCTCTGGCCCTCAAGCCCCAGCCTGTGGAGCTGGCACCTGTACACTCCGTATGCGGTCACCTGGAAGGGATGCTGAGCTCTTGACTTTTGGCATCCATCCCAGGTGGACGTGGCTGCAGCAATGAACAGGAGGACACTGACATTCTCCATACCTTGGGCTTCAAAGACTACACAAGTGCGATCTGTCCATTTCAGCTAGTTTTATTAGAATTTCCTCTGCTTCTCTTCCCCTACCCCACCCCACCTCCAGCTGGTCTGGTTTGGCTTCAGGTCTTGGGTACTGGCTGCCAGCACTACCAACCTTTACTGATTAGATTTGGTGGGCTGGGGTCCCAGGGTGCCAAGAAACTTGGTTAACACTCTCTGGAGACCCCTGGCAAGCGGAGCCTGGGGGGCGGGGGAGGAGAGACACTTCCTACAATGCTTACAGGGCCAAGAGTGGGGCATATCCCCAGCCCCCACCCCTGCCCCACACTGATGCCTGGGGAGAGGCTGCAGTGGGGGGCTGATGTGGAGACACCTTCGGGACAGCCTGCCGACAGGGCCCTCCACGGGTGCTTTGGCCTGGGCAAGCTGGCTCGCTCCTGTGACCCTGGAGGACCTCAATTTCGCATCCCCTCCTCCGTGGTCTCCTGATCTGGGTTTCTTGGGATGCTCCGTGTTCTTGGCTGAAGCCTTGTTCTGCCTCTTGTCCGAAGCTGGAACCGTAGGGTTTGAGGGCGCTCCTAGGCTTGGACACTTGTTACCAGCTGCCAAGTAAACACCTGGCTCCTGGGAGGCGACCCGGGCCACCATATTCCTCTTCATACTCTGCTCTCGCTGAGAATTTTGTCTTGTTCTGCCAGACCCTGGTGACTGAGGCTGGGCAATGGACTGCGGGTGTTGACAGTGGGAGATAGGCTGAGGTGCTGTGCCCTGAGCTTCTTGGAAATGGCAACTTGAAGAGCAGGGGCACGGGTTGGGAGGCCGAGTCTGCTGTGGGGGGCAGGAAGAGTATTCCCAGGAGCCTGGAGTAGGAGGGCTGGGGGCAGGAGAGCTGCCAAGTGGTCGGCGCTGGCCGGGGGATGAGGAAGCAGAGCTCTGCTGCAGGTCCTTCAGCCTCCGTTCCAACGCCCTACTCCAGTGCCAGGCCTGGACCAGGTGGGTGGGCCTCTCTGGGACAGCCTTGTCCCAGGAGGGTGGGGTCTCTGCCTTAGCCTCCGGGGCTCCCTCTCCCTGGAGTGGGTCAGGCTGGCTGGGCTTCGTCTTCAGGGCCTCAGCGAGAGTGGGGAGCCCAAGCACCGGCTGCAGCGGGTCCCCTGCGCGGGGGCTGGAGGCCTGGGAGGCCACCCCTCGCACGTTTCTCCACACACACTCAGGGGCGGTGTGCAGCCCTGCTGGGGGGGCGGAGAGTGAGCTGTGGGCCAAGGCCAGCAGCTCCGTGGCCCATGGGTCTTCTCTCTGCTCTACCAAGCCCTCAGGCGTGGAGACCCGCTGATCTCCAGTAGCCGCGATTCTGTGGGACTTTGACACAGAGTTTGGGGCTGTACTGGGCTTCCTCACTGGAGGCGCAGAAGCACAGCAGCTCTCTTCATGCTCCACGACCTCCCGGACAAGCCCAGCGTCTGACAGGATTCCTTGCGGGCTGGCTCCACGTGGGTCTTGGTCTAAGCTGCCAGCTGGAAGCTCCGAGGTCCAAGAGTCCTTCCTCTGTTGCATGACCCCACAAGTAATCTCAGGATCAAACAGGGCCCCTGTGGGGCTTGATCCGAAGGACTCCAGTACAGGAGTTGGGGGTGGGCTGAGGACCAGAGACGGAGGCCCAGTGTCCTTCCACGCAGCTTCCAGTCCTGGGAGGCCTCCCACAGAATTCATTCTGTCTGTCTCTAGAAGCGGGGCTAGAGGGAGACTGCCTGCAGGGGCTGGGGACTTACAGGCCCAGAGGTTGTCTCTGTTCCCCATGGTCTCCCACAAAGCTTCGGACTCAGGCAGGACTCCCTGGGGTTCCATTCCTGTGGACTCCAGCAGAGAGGAGGGAGGGTGGGGAGGTGAAACTGGGTCTTCAGAGACCCGAAGATTTTCTCTTCTCTTTACGTCCTTCCACGGGGCCTCAGATCCTAATGGAAAACATGCAAGACTGGTTTCATGGTTTCCTGGCAGAGGAACTGAGCATGGGTTGAGGTCGAACTCTGTGGGTTCAACGACCCAGGGGTTTCCTGAGTTTTCTCTGCATCCTGATGAGGCCTCATATCCAGACGGATTTCCCAGGGTGACGCCTCCACGGAGTTCTGGCCCTGGGGCTGGGGGAAGACAGCGGACTGGCACCGGACACTCGGAGGCCTGAGGATTCTCTCTCTGCCCCAAGGTTCCCCAGAAGGCCTTAGGTGAAGAAAGGCTTCCTTTAGGGTTGACTTTCTGGGGTTCTGAGAGAGAATCTGGAGCTTGGCAGGGGGCTGGCATTGGGGGCTCAGAAGCTTGACGGCTCTCTTTTTGTTTCGTGGTTCTCTGTTGAGTTTCATAACCAGGTGGATCTCCCAGGGCACTTGTTTCTTGAGGCTCTGTCATGGGGGCTAGGGGTTGGCAAAAAGCTAGAGTTGGAGGCTTACAAGTCTGAGGGTTCTCTCTCTGCCCTGTGCTTTCCAAGAGGGCCTCAGATCCAGACAGGTCTCCTATAGGCTTGACTCCCTCCATTTCTGGCAGGGAGGCTGGGGTTGGGCTAGGGGCTGAGACTGCTGGCTCAGAAACCCCAAGGTCTTCATTTTGCTCGGTAGCTCTCCATGGGGACTCAGACCTAGTCACGACCCTCAGAGGGCTACAGGGATACAGCAGAGAGGCAGGGCATGAATCTGGAATGAGTTGTTGAGGGCTGGGGTCCCGTGGCACCCCACTCCAGACTGCAGGTGAGACGAGGAGCTTGGAGGGGCTGGTTCTCTGGAGTTCAGGCTGAGGGTCCGTCTCTGGATCCTCAGGGACACAAGGGACATCTCTGTGTTGTGTAAGCGACTCTGTGTGTGCCTCAGTGCCACACAGCACTCTCTTGGGAACTGCAGGAAAGGGCTCACGATGGAGGAGGGCCAAGGATAGGACAGCAGGGGAGGGTGGCTGAGAACCAGGGGCCAGCCCTTCCAGGTCTTCCACAGTATGGACTTGAGGGCTAGGAAGCTGGGTTTGGGGGTAGTGCTGGGGAAGCAGCAGGTTGGGCTTAGGCAGCAAAGACAACTTGTTGAAGAAGATGGAAGGACTAGCAGACAAATGTAGAGAAGAGGGGCCACCTGAGCACAGGTACGTGGCCTCTAAGAGTTCACTGTGCAGAGAGGGGGGACCCCAGAAGAACAGGCTTTTTCTCTGCTCCACATGGCTTCCTGACGCTGTCGTGTGCCTCACTGGTAGGTTGGTCAGGATCTGGAAGGTGGGGAAGGATCTGGAAGGGTTTAGGGGCTGTGTGGATATTTGCTCTGGTGTCCGTGAGGACGTGGGGAAGGCCTCAGAACCCCAGACTGGCTGAGGTGTGGTTAGGGTGCTTTGTTCCCCACTCGGAACTTCTCTGAGAGGAGAATATGGCTTCAGTGGACCCGCAGGTGCAGCCTCTTCCTCTTCCTCCTCCTCTTCCTCCTCTTCTGACTTTTGCTTCCACGGGCGGCCAGGGAAAGCTACATGGGACAGAAGTGATAGGCCCTGGGAGGAGAGAAAGAGACCACCTGTTATGGAGCCTTTTCATGAAGCCCTCAGTGCCTGGTCCACATCCAGACTCGAGACTCACTCATTGGCCCTACACTTTGGTCAACAGTCACCCAGCTCCTCATCCAATGTTAATGGTCAATTACTTGGCTGATATTTGGGGGTCAGCAGCCCCTCACATGACCTCACTTCCAGGCTCAGTGGTACTCATGTTGCTTCAAATCATGTATTAATGATCACTCACCCAGTCTCCCATCTAGGGCTTATGGTCAGTCACCTGGGACCTCACATGTCATTCACTCAGTCGCACATCCAAGGCCAGAGTTCACCCACCTTGCTTTGCATCATGTCCCAAGAGCACCAGAGTTGAAGCTGTGGCCACTTCCCAAGCTGCTGCCGCCACCTCCGGATTTGCCAAACTATGAATAAGAAGAGGGTCATCAAGTTCCCAGGACTCTGGAGGCAGCTGTTGCCACAGTGTCTGCAGGCCAGGACGTTGGCCACCTGGCCCCACAGAAGCCCCATGTCTCCCACAGCCCTGAAAAGCCCCTCTGGCAACAATTCCATCTTCCTGGCTTAGTGGCAGTTTACCCAGGTCATCACTGCATCACAGAACAAAGAACTCCCATCCCCCACCCCAGCCTTGGCCTAACAGTCCTTCCTCAGAATTCAGGGCCAAGTGAATGGCCTCCATCAGACAAGCTATACTTCTTTGTACAGTGAAACCTGGTGACTCCCTTTAGTCTTGCTTGACCAGAAGGTCAGAATTATGCTTCAGATGTGTGGTTAAGGACATGGCTTCTGGCATCAAACCACCTTGTTCAAATCCTGGCTCTGCCAGTTCCTACCTGTGAAACCTCTGTCAAACTACTTCATCTTCCAGTGCCTCGGTTTTCTCATCTATAAAGTGGGGATAATACCATTACTGATCATACATGGTTGGTTGGAGGATTACGTGAATACACTGATACACTTGGGACAGGACTTGGTTCATTGTGTGTGCTATATTAATAAGTCTTTCTTCTAAGGTTCCCAGTTACATTCTGCATGTCATCATTCACAGGTGGGGCATACCCTTTCTCTTTTATACTCGTGTCTTGTTTGATTTTCGGTTGCCTGGGATCCTTTCCAGAAACATTCAGGTTAGAGATGACAAACCAAATGTGCTTGACAATTTCTCTTCATCTGTTCCTCTTTCCTCTAAAACCACCACCCTGTCCTATGCCAACCCTTGCTTTCAGTGCCAAATGTCTCGTCGCTGCCTGCTCACTGCAATTCAGCAGCTCACCCACCCCCGTCTAAGGCAGCCTTGTTTGGTAGAAAGACCGTGAGCTCTAACTGTGAAGACTTGGGTTCTCTCCCTTGGTCACTGGCCACACGACCTGGGGCAGGAAATGTTTCCCCATTGACAGTACCAGCTGGACCAGATTCACTCATTCATTCAACACATAGTTAACGTAGTTCTTATGTAGTGAGTATTGCCACCAGCCACTCCTCAGAAGGAAGGTTGGGCAATCTACTTCTGTAGTGATACTGCCTTGGAAACCCAAGGAGGGGTCGCTGTCAGTCGAATCTGACTCAACGGCAGTGCGTTAGTGAGTATTACGGGCCAGGTATGGGGCTCCCTTTTAAGGAGATAAAAATGAACATGACAGAGTCTCTGTCCTAAAATGGGTCTCATTTCAGTGGAGGAGACAGTCAAGTAATAGAACAGATGTCAACCCTTCCTTTCAGTGCCAAATGAAGGTACAGGGTACTGTGGGAATAGGAAACCCAAACCCACTGCCGTCGAGTCGGTTCTGACTCACAGCGACCCCCATAGGGGGTTTCCAAGGCTGTCAGTCTTTACAGAAGTGGATTGCCTCATCTTCTTTCTGTGGAGCAGCTGGTGGGTTTGAACCACTGACCTTCTGGTTAGAAGCCAAATGCCTTACCCACAGTGCCACCAGGGCTCCTTATGGAAGTAGAGAGGGATATGTAACCAGCCTGGGGAAGGAGCTTGCTGGCCTGGGAGTATTTCCCATAGGAAGTGATTAATGCTTGGTTTGAGGAGCCACGAAAATGAGTGTTAGCATAGGGAGTGAGAGGAGGAGCAGCAGGACAGCCTGGGTGAAGGGCGCTAGGGCAGGGAAAGACCATTAGAGAGAGAGAAGGTGTTTCAATGTGGCTGAGGTGTGAGATGGGGGCACTGACAGAGGAACGTGGAATGTCGGATCACAGAGAGCCCTGAATACCAGAGTAAGACGTGGAAGTTCATCCTGAAGAAGGTGGAGAACCACTGAAGAGTCGTAAGCAGGGAGGTGACAGGAACGTCTGCGTCTTGGAAAGAACATACAGGCTACAGTGAAGGCAAAGAGACTGACGGCAAGAGACTGGTCAGGAGATTCTTGCTTTAGTTCAGGCAAAACAAGAGAAGAAGCCTGCACTAAGGTGGGGGTGGTGGGACGGAGAGTAATGGATCAAGCAAGATCCAGCGATGGCACTGACCTGATCTGGTTACCTGGATGGAGGTGGGGGAGAGCCGGAGTTAAGAAATGACTCCAGGGTTTCTGACTCTTGAAACAGGGTATAAGTTGGTGTAGTTCACTGAGTTAGGGAATACAGACCTGGGAAATAACTTACAGTGGGGTGATGGGTTCCATTTAGGCATTTGACTTGGAGGTTCCTGTGACACTTCAAAGTAAAGCTGGGCAGGTGGCAGTTAGATACCTAGATCTGAAGTTTGGGACAACTGTCGGTGGGGAAGATGGAGGTTGCTAGTAGCGTATATGTAGCAGGTAAAACTATAACCCACTGACAAGTAATATTTGACTCAAAGTGACTCTTGTTGTTGTTATGTGCCATCGAGTCAGACCCGACTCATAGCGACCCCTCCTTGGGTTTCTGAGGCAGTATCACTACGGAAGT